TAATTAATTAATTTGGGTTCTTAATGCAAATATAAGTAAATTGATCAAATGGGAGAACATCTATAATAAAATGTTTAGAAAATTTATTATAATTAATTGTGGAATTGATTGTGATGAGTTTGAAGTTAGCAATGAGGCATGAATACGTTGCTGAATATGTCAGTTTGAGGTAGGCAAATATTTGTGCTCTGGATAATTCATTATAACTTTAAGAGTATGTTTGAATAAGCAGTGGTGAAGCTGTTGAGGAGAAAAACTGGTGTTCAAAAGCCTGTGGTGGCTTTACCAAAAAATTCCTTATTGAAAAATTCTTACCTCAGTTTTCTAACAGCAACCACATGTAGCCGGATCTGGTAGGAAAACACAGCTTTCAACTGTAGCTTTTTTGAGAACGCAGGTAAAACACAATGTTGTCAAACAGGAAAAACTTCGGCGCAGTACAATACTGCCAACCTAAATACACCATAGGGAGATAAACTTTATTGAGCTTCTTGATAAATAAAACATGTTGCATTGTGCACAAAATGGGTTGAGTATATTATTACTTTTATATTTAAGTAGGCTTTTAGAAAAAACAAAGACTCAAAAGTAAGGGATGGGTACTTAATCATGACAGTTGTAGTGCCAGTTATATCTCAATAATTTGTCCTATTTTTTTTCAATTTACATACATATTAATATGCATTATAAGCACATTTATGTATCACTAATGATGGTTTTTCAACTTAATAAGATTCCACTTAATGCAAATATCTTTCATATGACACCTAATATATTAATTAAATTAAATCTTGTCATTTATAGAGAGTCAAAAAACTTGAGAAAATGTTTTGCATAGCCAATCAAATTGTTAGGTTTACATATCTATTTATGAAGATAATCCCAAATCTCTTTTTGCTAGAAAATTGTTGAAATAATTAGGGATGATTGTTGGCGACGACCTTTGGAGTTAATATTTTCATCATCTTAACTTAAATTCAAGTAAGCTTCTCCATTCAACACTAGTTACAAAATGATGATTCGAGGTTTTAAAATTCAGGTCAGATCGGTCGGTTCAACCATGAACAGGTGATTCAATTAACGACCATGAACAGGTGATTCAGTCAATTCAGCCCAAATTAATAACAGTTTTTTAGTAAAACTATGATTAAATTGGTCGGAAATGGGGTAAACCGGTCTAGTTATTATATTATTCAATTTTAGCCTTTTAATTTTAAGACAAAAGATATTTAAATAAAAAACAAAAATTATCAAATTTCAAATTTTTTATTTAGAATATTATTTAAAATATTTAAAAGTATTATCTTAAATTAAAATATTTTTTTTTAAATTCATGAAATAGATATTAATATATTATTATTATTCTATTATTTAAATTATATTAAAATAATTGGAATATTTATTATATTTTTCGATTCAACTCCCATTGAATTATTGAATAATGAACATTTAATTCTTCGAGATTGATTTTCACAATCTTGAGGAACCTTCCATTTGTTCAATATATCATATAAATAAATTAGTTAACTTTCCTCTCTTACCTCCTTATTCATTGTGGTCTAATCTTAATGGATGATTGACAAAAATTGTCTTCTAGATCTCATCAGGCAAAAAAATATTAAGTCCCCGCAGGACGAGCGATTATTGCGTGCGAAGAGCACAAATAGATCTGTGTGGGCTCTCCGATCACAACCGCCCGATGCGCGGCTGTGATCAGAGAGCGCACGATCGAATATTTAGAGCTGCAAGACAGAATGGATCACACTTTAGAACTAAAATCTATAAATGAAAATATGTTTCATATATAAATGGTTAGTAAGAGTACTAGTGGCAGGGTTCTGTGGCAGGGGTCTGTATGTCAAAAATTTGAGCCGCATGTTGGTAAATATGAAAGTTTAGGTGTTAGATATATAAATATTTAAAAATTATGTGGTATGCAAGTAAATGTCCCGTTTTCTATGTTAGCTCTAACACCTGTCAAAAAATTAAAAATTATGTGGTATTACAAGTGGGATTTGAGTTATGCAAGTAAATGTCCCGTTTTCAATTTTTCGACATATTATGCCAGTAAATGGTCTAATTATTAGATGCAGAGGGCGCACACAGAGCCTCGCGTGCCCTCCGATCACAGCCGCACATCGCGGGTGTATGACAGTGGGACCACTGTCACACAGCCGCGATGTTCAGAGGGCGCACGCAGCTCTGTGTGCCCCCTCCGCACGCAATAATCGCTTCAGTAAATGACGACGTGGTGTCTGCCAGCCGTTTTCATTTGTGATGGTTGGGTGTGTGGTGATTTGCCAATTCTTATTTATCTGCTATGGTGTTGTGCAATTTTTGGATTTGAGTTTGTGCAAGTAACTTTTGTTCTTACGGTGGTTTCTGGAATGATAAATTTTATGTTTCCATTCATTTTTGAAAAGCTTATGATGGTTGGGTATGTGGTGAACATGAGCTCCAGAATTTTATGGACCTCTGTAGTGTGCTATTTTACTGCGAATTACAAGCTTCCTTACTGACGTCACGTCGGGCACACAGCTAAGAGAGACAGTTCTACGATTGCCCGCGGAGCGTCTCGAAGAGGTGCGACTTCCTCCGACGGGCGGACAGTCAGGAAGATTGCACTGCCGAAAGTGATCGAGGTTAGATGGTATACCAAAAAGATAGTGCAACTCATGACATACGTCGTCAAGATTTTAGAATTAATATTTTAATTGTCATTTTAATAATATTTATCTTTATTTTATCAGACTTGATACTTGCTCCTAAGAGAAGAATGTATCTTATTTTGTTAAACTGTTTTGTATTATTTTTCTATTCCTGTAGTATTAATTATATTGTCAAGACAGTTCTGTTGCAAAAAAAAATATTAATTAATAGGGGGAATGATCATTTATCTAGAAACATGTAAAATTCAGTTGTTCTCAAACAGCTCCCTCAAACAAACATCGAACTTATCTGGATAATCTGCAGATCAACAACTTCTCAGGATAAACTACTTATCAACAAATTATTTAATAAATTACAGCCGCCCCAAACACACCCGTTGTTTCAAAAAGCATGTTAGGAGCCACACACCATATATTGAATCGTTTTAAATTTTAATATTAATGTTCGTTGTAATTATCTTGAAAGTTTTCATCTTATATTTAATTTGTTTTTTGTGCTTTGGTGGTACAAATTTAATTTAACTCTACATGTATTTAAGGGTCTTTGCTCGCATGAACTTAACAAGATTTAGCGATGAATTTAACGTAAATTCAATGAAATTTAAATCCCGTGCTCCGTTAAATCGAATATTATCTCCTTTCATATGTTTTTCGACATAAATTCGGATTTAGTAACTCGGATTGGTCGACAAATTTACATGATTTATTTTGCTAAATTTGAATTTGGTAAGTGCTATTTAACCAAAATGTGAATTCAAATATATTTGAGTTCTAAAATAAGCTTAACAATAAAAATATGTGATACTTGAACAATAATTGCTAAACACGTGGCTAAAAATAAGTCATAACATAGCCAAAGGATATTTGTCAGACTTAATGACGATACGTGTAGAATTATTCATAAGAATTTAATGGACATTGCATTAACCACATCTATATGTATATTAAATCAATGTACATGATTTCATAAGTTGACATTTGGTGCATTTAATAATGTCTGCATTATATAAGACATTAGTTTTCCAACTAAATATAATTATATTTAATTCTAAATTATCATAAATTCAATTCTATATTTTTTTATTAGGAAGAAATATCATATTATTGATGAATTCAAATTTAATTGTAATTAAATTTTACATTATTTTTTTTATTAAAAACATGCCCTCAATTCTTATTAATTGTTCATCGTATACTCCACTGTTTGGAATTAAGAATTGGGAGATATGCATGTAAATAGGGCTGTAAACGAGCCGAGTTTGAGCAAGCTCGTAAGAAATAGCTCGCGTTCGAAATTGGCTCGTGAACAGTGTGTTCATGTTTGGCTTGAAATTGGCTCGGAAAAATTAAATTGAAAAGAATAGATGTAAAGTGTGGGATTCAAACCTGGACCAAATGTATATAAAAAAAGACACTAACCACATTAACACACGAGATGTTATGATTTAAACTTAGATATAAATATATATAATATATTATTATATAAATAATATATGTAATATATTTTTATATTAATAATTATATATATATTAAATTTCGAGCTAAAACAAGCCAAACATGAACGAACAAAGAGCTGTTTATGTTCGGCTCGTTTATAATTCGAGCTTTAAATACTTATTTGTGTTCGGCTCGTCTACTTAATGAACGAGAAGAACAAGAGCTACTTAACTAGCCGAACACGAGCTGTTCGCGAACAACGAGCTTTTTTGACAGCCCTACATGTAAATCCCCTTGTTTGGAATTACTTAATACTTAACTATTTTCATAACAGAGATTTAAGTAACTTAAACTTTTAATTTATTTATATTCTAAATTAAATTTATAAGTTCAAATTTTATGCACTTTCACCCTTTTGAATCCCTAATATTAGAACTAATAAACCCACTTTATTTTATAAGGCTGGGAAATTTAAGTGGTGCGCATGGCTTCCAGCACATCCTATGGCTATCACGTGGCATGACACTATTCATAAAATTGTAATTAAATATAATTAATAGCTGACAATTAGTAAATTACACAACAAATTCCATAATTTCTTTTTTTATTATTTGAAGAAGTACGTTAACTTTTTTCATACTTCGTGATCATATCATATAAATCTTTATTTTGTTTAATATTTCATCGCACATCATATAATATTCATAGTTTCTAAACAAATAATCAAAAGCTAACTACCACGTGACAGATGTCATTAAGAGTATGTTTGGGGCAGCTGCAACTTATTAAATAATCTGCTGGTAAGCTGATTAAAAATAATCTGCTGATAAACTAGGCGCAGTGGCTATTGTAAATTTTTTTTTTTTTTTGGAAAAGTCTGTTTCAAGCGTTTTGAACAGGTCAGGTGCATTTTCGAGACATCACGACACTAAATAAACTGCCCCAAACGAATCTTAAATCATCTACAGAATTTTTATAAGTTCTTGAAAAATAATAGGGTTATTAGACTTGTGTTTATGATGGGCATGGCTTGATATACCAATGAGGAGGATTTGCTAAAAGAAATCACTAGGAAATAAAATACAATAAAATAATAAGATGTTTAATTCATTTGATGTAACGACTTATGCCCACTATGTAGCAAGGCAACAAAATCAAAATATTATTAGAGAGAAAAAGGGCAATATAACTATATAAGACTATATTTATTTGAGGTTATCAAATTTGATTCATGTAAATAGAAAGATTGGTAGAGAGCTCTCTCTCAAATTATGAGGCTCAGATTTGAAGCCAATTCAAACCACTAATTTTTAACTTATTTTCTATTAAAGCTCGACTTACTAAAATAAGAAAATGACAATAAAAGTACAAAAGAAGGGCTAAAATTGGAAAGAATATTACATCTGAACGATCTACATCCGAATTAGTTGTGCATGATGTTATTGGAGATGTTATTTTGGAAAAATAACATCACAATACTATCAATAACATCTAAATACTACCATCCGCACATGAAACTACATCATGACTTATAATGTAATATTTTCTCTTAAAAATGTCTTAGGCTGACCAAACTTATGATCATTGTAATTTATAGCAATGCCCAAAGTCAAAATATGAACTAAATATCAATTACAAGTTAGGCAATTTACATTCAATGCATAAATTTTATTTTTTACATTTATACCACTTAAAATCTTCATCTATCGCACCAAAATTCCCACTACTTAAAAGGTGAAATATACCTCTTTATGCATATGTTAGGTAAGAGGACATGCATGTAAAAATTGAAGTTTATGTGTTATAGATAGAAATAGAGGGGGACGTATCTAGATCTTCTTTCACACATTAAAGCCTAAAGTCAATAACTGCAACAATGAATATTCCAAACCCTATCACTATCACCCATCTGATTCGTCATTTGTGGCAATGTCTCTTTTAATGATATCTCAATATTGTTATATATTAAATGCATTTAAATTTGATGTTTACTGTTCTATTAATTGCGTTCTATTGTTTTAAGTGCAATGAAATTAATGATTTTGCATTTCCTCACCTTGCCATTTTCAATAGGATTTAAAGAACCTCATTTGTGTATATTTTTGCAAATAGACTTCATTTAACAAGTCTACAGGCTAGAAGAAAAACGGATAAAACTCTACTATTCTCCTTAAGTCTGCCAGCATAAGACTCACGCAGGCGAAATTAACAATGTTTCTTCAATCAAATCGGGCTATTGACAGTTCCCTCGAAACTCTAGTTTATGGTCGTTCGGTCCATAAGAGCTGGGTAGGAATTGTCAAGGGTTCCTGGATCCGTCTGGTTGGAAGCCATTTCAGTCTTCTGGCCCCATCCGATCATAATTCATCTCAGACTCCCATCCCATTCCTATAAATAAAGATCACGCAATTATGCGGTTCATTACTCGACCTTCTAACCTCTCCTCCTTTATGATGTGTTCAATTCTTATCTCCCAGACATATTTGCATTCAACAATAACTAACACCTAAAATTTGATATTTATATTCATAATAGTGATATAAAGATATGCATAAAAAGTTGTATTGGACTTTGAAAAAAATTAGTAAAAATACTATTTTTAGTAATGTCGAAATTTTAAGTATTATAAATATAAATATCAAAATTTAAATGTTAAACATAAAATTTAATCTTAATATTTTTACTTTTTTTTTCTAAGAAAAAAAAAAGGAGTAAAATAAAAAATCTACCACGCATGCGATTAAAGGCTGTTCACACTTTTTATGACGAAACATCTGCAATTGCATTTCTACCCTTGAGACTGCAATTTAGGAATCACAAGGCTCGAGTGCCTGCCAGCTAAACTCCCCCACTTCATTAATTATTATTTAATATTAATGGAGCTCCAAAATTTTCCGGCCAACTTTATTGGAAAAATGGTTCACTTATTTGAATAATAAGGTTTTTAATAAGACATTCTAATAAAATTATTCAATATGTGCTCAAATTTGTATGCATATTAATTAAAAAAATAAAATATTTTAAGATATTAAATTTAAATTTCGAATGCTCTCCTTGCCAAAAAAAAAAAATAATAATAATAATAATATTTAAAATTTCAAATAATTATCATCCAATAACCATAAAATTTATCTGAATATTTGCTTTTAAAAAATAGATTTAATTATAAATAGCATAACAATTTTATTTTAAAATTTTCTTAAAATAAAATATATCCTTTCATCTATATATTTTTGAAATCATTAAGATAATAAGAGCCATAAACGTAAATATAATAAATTAAGTATTTAATAGGTACATAAATAAGAATTGTTTTATTTCATTATTTTAAATTTATACATAAAATTAAAATTATATAATTTTAAGACATTTAATTCGAATAAAATAATTTACATCATTTGTTAAAATTGTTAAGATTAAAATAAAATAAAAAATATGTAAAAATAATAATTAATTATAATTTTTTTACTTATTTGATAATCAATGATTTTTCCTTTAAATAAGAGTTATTTGACTAAATTTTTAATTCATTCATCTATAATTTATATTAAAATGTCTTAATAAAATTTTAACAAATTTAAATTAAAAATATTTTGATCTAATATTGTCAGTTTTTTTAATTTCCTTTTATCACAATAATAATTTTGCAAATTTATCATCCTTCAAATTTTTTTGGAAAATATCATAAATTTATAATTAATGAGGGGTTTGAATATAATTGCGAATTTATACGAAAATAGTAGAGAAGGAGAAATATCCGGGGAATACAGAAAGGACGAGAAAGCAGAACCATCGGCTTCTCATCTGCTGTCGTGCGTTGTTGGCTTTAAAACCCTCATCTCTTCTCTCTCTAGGGTTTTAGCCGGGGTGGAAGACGGGCGGAGCGGCGACCGGAGAAGAGCCGGAGTTCTAGGGTTTCCGATTGGGGATAGCTTTGGATTTATGTCGGTCGAGCTTGTTCGCCTCTTTGCCGGTGAAGAAGACAGCAGCGTTAAGAAGCTCAAGATCCGATCATCGTCTTCTTCTCTGTTGCGACCTAGCTGCTTTGTTCTGATCGGCTGGAGGCCGATCCTCTGTCTCTTTTTCTTTATGCAACGGAGGCTGGCGGGCACGAAGAACGTATCCATGAGCTTGCCTTTTTCCAGGTAGTCATCAGTTTTTGGGGTTTGATGCGAGTTTCGATTCCGTTTGTAGTAGTTTTGATCTCATGATTTTTTACAGGCCTGGATTTGGAGTGAAGTATTTTGGGTTTTTACATATAGATCCGACCATCTTCCTCTTCCTCTTTCCGGGGGCTACCCTAAGCTGACACCTCAGATCTGGGCTGAAATCACGAGATCGGGCTATCAACGCTGCTCGAGAACGTCAGTTTTGTTCTTCAGTTTTTTTTTGTTCTTCTTCTATCATTCTGCTGCGTTGCTGTAATTTCTGCCGAGTAATTAAAGATGCCGGAGCCTCAGAGGCAACTCCTGAGCCTTAACACGATTCGAGGAAAGAAAAACAAGGAATCCTCCATCGTCGCCCTCCAGAAATTCGAAACGAAGCCCATAAGAACGATCCGCGTCCTGTTAAACGATCCCGACGCCACCGATTCTTCTGGCGGCGACGACGACGACGATATATTCCCTGATCATCACCTCAAAAAGCGCACTGTCCATGAGATCTCCCTCCTTCCTATCCGTCTCAACCCCATATCCTCTTCCTCTTCCGCTTCCATCCCCGTCTGTAATCCCGAAACCCGCAAAAAACCCAAACCCTTGAAACTACGGCGACTCACTCCCTCCACCTCCTCCCCTCATCTCAGAGGCGTTCGTCAGCGGCGATGGGGAAAATGGGCCGCAGAAATCCGCGACCCTATTCGCAGAGTTCGTAAATGGCTCGGCACTTATAATAGCGCTGAAGAAGCTGCCAAAGCTTACAGAGAAGCATTCACGCGCATCCAGGCCGAGAAGCTTGGCCTCAAGCTCTCGTCCACCACGCCGCCGTGTTCCTCCTCTTCCTCCTACATCTCAGAACGTACTCTATCCCTCGCTTCTCCTTCCTCCGTTCTCGACGTCTCCGTTCAACAGACTCTGGCGACGGCGAAGCCTTCAGAACTTCTCCCTGCTCCGCAGGTGGATCGTTTTGAAGACATGGAGCTGACGGATTTGGACCTCTGTTTCACAGGCGCTGACTCCGACGAGTTTCTCGTCGGAAATCTCGGCGACGATTTCGTCGGACTTGATGACCTTCCGCTTTGGGCACCGCAATTCGACGGCGGCGATTTGGCTTTTCTTGACTGAGAGTGGAAATTTTGCAGATTAGTCCCTATTTTTCGCATTTATATTTACATGAATTTGTGAGAGTATAAATAGTAAAATTATATTTTGTGTGTAATTTATTTAAGTAGTGAGTTGTCATCTTTGCGGGGTAAAATTTGATGTTTTGAGCTTATTTTGGGAGGAGTTTCCATGGGTTTTGTTGACCAGGTCTTATTAATTGTAATAAGAGCTGCCCATTGGGGATTTTTCTGTAATTCTCCCAATTGTGGGTGTTGAAATTATATGAATCGAATGTTTTTTTTTTAATATATTAATTTTTTATTTCAGTAAATGTTTAGCGTAAATATAATAATATTTTATTTTTTTAGTTTTGTTTAATTAATTCATGAACTTGATTTAATAGGTTAATTTATTATGATTAATAAATACTAGGTTTTCATTAATGTTATTAATTACATGATAATTAATGTATTTCATAATGGTTAGGGATATAATTGAGAGCAATGGGGGTGAATTACATTGCCAATGTAGGATACACGTGTTTATCCATATAAATAAAATTATTAATATATATATATGATAAAGTTTTATAACACATATTTATAAGTTGAATAAATAAATTTTATCCATATAAATAAAATTATTAATATATATATATATGATAAAGTTTTATAACAAATATATTTATAAGTTGAATAAATAAATCATTAAAAATTTTACAAAAATAAGTAAATTTAAACATTAGTTTATGAAAATTAATATGTCCATGGCGAGAAATATATCATGAGCAAAAAAATTGGGTGGCATGTTGAATAAATAGGTATAATTTTTAAATAAAATATTATTTTTCTTAAATGTGTTTGGGATGTTGCCAAGGAAAAGTTATTGCGCCAGGATTAGGCTGTCAAAACGGCTCGTTGTTTGCGAACAACTCATGTTCGGCTTGTTAAAAAACTCGTGTTCGACTTGTTTGTTAAGTAAACGAGCCGAACACGAACAAAAATTTGTTCGTTCTTGTTCGACTTGTTTGGGTCCAAAATACTACTAATCAAATATATATATATATATATATTGATGAGTGGTATTTTTGATAAATTTAATTGACATGGTAGGATATAAATAATAATTTAATTTTTAGGTGAGTGTCTATACACGTGGCAGACCCAGATTAAAGTACATATTTTTTATCAAAAGTGTATTTGCATGGTAGGATATAAATGACTCAAAACTTAACCAACATCATCATATAAACGTATTCAATTCTTTCAAAAAATTGTTCGTTGAAAATTGAATTGTATTTGAATTTGATGTGAATGAATGGTGTGTTTGGTTAGTTTTAAATTTATCAATTTGTTTGTAATTTATTTTTAGCTTGAATTATTTATAAATTTGTAATTTGAAATTTCTTAAACAAAGAATAAAAATTAAGTAAATATAAGAAAAATAATAAAATTAGCATAAATTTATAAT